CCGGTGCCCCCCCCCCACCCGCCTGTGTGGGTTGACACCGTGCCGGTGCTGCGGTCCGGGGGGCCGGGGAGGACTTGGCGGCCGTCCGACGGGCGCTTGGGGGGCTGCGGGACAGCGTGGTGGGCGCCGGGGAGGACTCCAACACCGTCACTGCCGCGTCCGGGTGTCCCGAGGAGGACTCGCACCCCGTTTCCCGTGGGTTGGGGTGTACCGGGGACGCCCCCGGTGCTGATAACGCTGTCTGGGGTGACGGGGAGGACTCCAACGCCGTCACCGGTGTGTTCAGGTGTCCCAGAGACGCCTGTAGCGCTGACAATGCGGTCTGGGGTGTCGAGGGGGACCCCAACGCCGTCTCCATTGCATCCAGGTGTCCCACAGACACCTCCACCGCCTGTAACGTGGTTGGTGGTGCCAAGGAGTCCTCCAACACTGTCTCCATCCCATCCAGGTGTCCCACAGACTTCTCCTCCACCTGTAGCGGTGGTGGTGATGCCAAAGAGTCCTCCAACACTGCCTCCATCGTGTCTAGCTGTTGTATAGACACCTCTGCCGCCTGTAACGTGGTTGGTGGTGCGGTAGAGTCCTCCAACACCATCTCCACTGCGTCCAGGCGTCCCATAGGCTTCTCCGCCTGTAACACTGGTGGTGCCAAAGAGTCCTCCAACACCGTCTCCATCCCATCCAGGTGTCCCATAGACACCTCTGCCACCCGTAATGCGGTTGGCGGTGCTGGTGAGTCCTCCGACACCGTCTCCACGGCGTCCGGCTGCGCCGGCGGCCCCTCGTCCGCCTGTAGGTCACCGGTGGCAGGGGGGTGCAGGCGCTGGTGGCCCAGGAGCTGCCGGCGCAGGCGGAAAGCCTTGGGGCAGAGCCCGCAGCGGTGCCGGCGGCGCTCGGCGTGGGTGCGCCGGTGGTTCTTCAGGGCCATCAGGTTGTAGAAGGCCTTGTGGCAGGCAGTGCAGCGGAAGAGGCCGGGGGGGGGGGGCTGCCGGGGGGTGGCCCAGCTGGCCGGGGGGTTGTAGCC